TTGTAAGTGACGCAAAAAATGCGCCTTTGAAGCGTGGCAGGAACTCTAATTTCGTGATGTGGTTGATATGGTTGCGGATCAGGCCCTCGTCTTGGCGCCCATACGCCTTCTTCAAAGGCGAGAAACACCCCACATCCAGCGGCTGAAGTAGGTGCGACGAGTGTGACGGCATGCAGAGAGTGATAATCTTATTATCCTTGCAGTACTGCTGGAATTCGATCGAGTCGTGGCTCTCATGGCCGTCGAGAATGAGCAAGCGATACTCTCCAACGGTTCGACTCTTCGTATGTGCATCAAAGTGCTTCAGCCACTGGAACCCAAGCTTATTTGTTGTCCAGCCGTTCCCAGAGACGGTAATAACCCAGCTAGGTGGTATATCTTCTTCCTCGTACCATGCAGAGAGGTGGTGTATGCCTGGAAAGATGATGAAAGGTGGGATGGCCCACCCCATCGCATTAACCCCCTGGATGACTGTTGTCCACTGTCGATCACCCGGCTGTAGGTTCTTTGGCCTTCCTCGACGGTCTGAGCCAGTGACAACAGCTCCTGTTGATATTACGCCCATCCTAAAGCCCGTCTCGTCGAAGTTGTAGGTGTCTTCATCAGTAATGCCGTACTTTGCCTTTGTGCTTGCAACAAGCTCGAAACAGTCTCCAATAAGCTGTGGATCTTCGCAGAGGGCCCTTTTATAGTCGTACTTTTGATTGAACTTGACTGAAAGCTCAGGCGTACGCTTTACAAAGCTTGCAGGCCAGTTGACGCCTACTGGCGGAGGGACGGTCGAGTTGGGTAGCGCTCGGCCTGGTATTCCTTTCAATTGCAATTGCAATCGAGAGGTCGTGGGTTCGAATCCCACTCCCTCCAACCCCTCTACTACCTGCGAAAACTTTCCGACTCCCGATCCACCAAAATCGACCCAATCGGAAGCCGACCACATCAACCATTCAACAACCTATCACAATCATCCTCCCATCCGATACCAGCAGCAATCGGCAAGTCCCGAAAAGGCCGACCACCGCAAGTTCTTCGATGGAGCAACCAACATTGTCCGGGAAAGAGCTTGACTCGACTTCCAATTGGCGCCTAGGCAGAAGAGAAGAGATGGAATGCCATAGGAGAAAGG